CCAACCGCTGAGCCAAACCGGCCAGGGCGGTTTTTAATTTCTTGTTCTCTCTCTTTTTCTTTTAGCAACCCATGATGCAAATGTTGGTACACTTGAAGTTGTCCCACAGACTCCATAAACTATCATTTTTTTAAATTCTTTTTTCTTTTTGCTGTTCTGATTGGGTGTTTTCTGCTTCCTTATCTTCCAGATCACTGATTTGATCTTCTGCTTCATCTACTGTACTGTTGATTTCCTGTAATGTATTCTTCATTTCAGTTATTATATTCTTCATTTTTGACTGGTTCTCTCTTACATTTTCTATCTGTGTGTGTGTATTATTTTTTTTTTTTTATCTTCACCTGAGGACATTTTTCCATTTTTTGTACAGATAGAGTGGGAGGGAGAGAGAGGAAGAGAGAGAGAGAAACATCGATGTGAAAGGGACATATCGAGTGGCTGCCACCTGCACGACAACCAGGGCCGGGGACAAACTGCAACCGAGGTACATGCCCTTAGCGGGAACCGAACTCGGATCTCTCCGGACCGCAGGCCGACGCTCTAACCGCTGAGCCAAACCGGCCAGGGCTCTATATATTTTTTTAATATGTTTTTATTGATTTAAAGACATTTTTTTTAGAGGAAGGGAGAGAGAGCGATAGAAACATTGATGTGAAAGAGAAACATTAATCTACTGCTTCCTGCAAGCCCCCTAACTGGGGCATGTACCCTGACTGGGAATTCAACCAGGACCTCTCATTCCATGAGATGATGCTCAGTCCACTGAGCCACGCTGGCCAGCCTCTATCTCTATTTTTATCTCTTTGTTGAAGTTTTTACAAAGTTCATTTACTCTTCCCCTAAATTCCTTAAGCATCCTTATAACCAGAGTTTTAAACTCTGCATCTGGTAGATTGCTTGTCTCCATTTTTTGTGAGTTCTTTTTCTGGATTTTGTTCTTTTCTTTCATTTGGAACTTGTTTCTTAGTCCTTTCATTTTGTCAGCCTCCCTATGTTTGTTTGTATGTATGAGGTACAGCTGCTACATCTCCCAATCTTGGTAGAGTGGTCTTACGTAGTAGGCATTCTGTAGGGACTGGTCATGTAGTCTCCCTGGTCACTCAAGCTGGGCACTCCAGGTGCACCTCCATCCCCTCTCCCATCTGCTCTTCTCCCAGGCTGTGTGCACCCTCCTGTTATAGTTGAGCCTTGAGTGCTGTTAACACGTGAGTGGGAGCAATATTCTTCAGGCCAATTGGCTACAAGGACTGCCTGTGACCACAGCAGAGGAGATGCTGTGCAGAGAGGGGCCCACCCCACAGAGCAGAACTTACTTCAGTTGGTCTCTGGTGCCTGAAGAGTTTGCCCCTCGATTTTATTGTTTTTGTAGGTGGTTGAGTGGTGCTTTAGCGTGTTTTGAAGCTGTCCACCAGTTGTGCTGGCTCTTCTGCCTCCTGGGAGTCGCAGGCCAAGATCAACTGGCACTGGTGCTTACCCTGGGGCCACCCAGCATGAGCAGCAGAGCTATCTGCAGATGGCTGCTGCTTGTACTGGACTTGGAGCTGCCCAGTAGAGGCCAAGCTGTGAACTGAAGCCGCTACCACTAGTGCTGACCCTGGGGTCACTTAGCAAGAGGTACGGGCATGCCAAGGCCAGGTGCTGCTTGTTTGAGATTTGTGGATCTTTGAGAGATTTTAGAAAGTTATTCAGCATGAGCCAAGACAGGCCATTTGTATGGAAAACCCACTGGAAATGAATGGGTTTGGTAGGCTAGCAAGTTGGTGGGGCAGGATGTTAGGAAAACTTGAAGGTGAGGCAGACAGTTTTAAACAGATTGATGGAGATTCAGATGTTGCACCAGCCTGCTGACTGTAAGGGGAGGGCTCAGCAAAGGAACATCTGGGAGAAAGCTGTCCCACCAACTCTCACACCAAATCCAGATAATTCAATTTTCCCCTTTATGTTCCTGGTACCTTTACAGCTACTGTGGGGCCCCCAGCACTGGAGCTCAGAGCAAGGACGTCTGAGTAAGTTGGTACAGGCCCTTTAAGAGGAACACCTGGGACTTCAGCAGCCCTTTGACTCACTCAACTCCAATCCCTGCTGGTTATCATAGGCAGAAGTTAGAGGGATTTCTCTTCCCGGCACTGAAACCCTGGGCTGGTGAGCCTATTGGGACCCCTGGCTCCTCAGTGGGGACCTGTGCAGCTGAAATATACCTCCTGATTTTTAACTGCCATTCTTTCGGTATGGGACCAGTAGCCCATTCTTAGTCTCCAGTCTCCACCCATCCTACCAGTCCCCACATTGCTTCTTCTTTTTATTCGTAGTTATAGGTCTTCTCTTCAGCTAGATTTCGGGTGGTTCTGAATGATGGTTGTTTGTAGTTTAGTTGTAACTTTGATGTGGTTGTTGTAGGATGCAAGTACCACATTTACCTAGTCACCATCTTGATCTTGATTTTTTTTTTTTTAATGGTTAAAATTTGCCTGGCCCAGGTGGCTCAGTGGTTGAGCGTTGCCACGCACCAAGAGGTTTCTGGTTTGATTCCCAGTCAGAGCACATGCCCAGGTTTGGGCCTAGTCCCCAGTGGGGGGCATGCAGGAGGTGGCCAATTGATGTGTGTGTGTCTCTCTCTCTCTCTTTCTCTCCCCCCCTCTCCCCTCCTCTCTCTCTAAAATTAATAAAGAAAATAAAAAAATTTTTTTTAAAAAAGGTTAAAATTTATCAGGAGCCTCATACTGATAAGTCCATTTCAAAATCGGGATGCCAAGATTTTTTGTTTTGTTTTTAACATTTCTTTTTCTTTATTGACTTTAGAGAGAGAGGAAATAAGAGGGGGAGAGAGATAGAATCATCAATGAGAGAGACTATCTATTGGCCGCCTCCTGCATGACCCCACTGGAGATTGTGCCCACAACCTGGGCGTGTGCCCTGACTGGAATCGAACCAGCGACCTCTTCGTGCATGCGTCGACGCTCAACCACTGAGCCACACCAACCAGACTGTTTTTTAATAACAACTTTATGAGATATATAATGCAGTTTACTCATTTAGAGTATACAAAACAATGGCTTTTAGTATATTCACAGAGCTGTGCATTAAAATTCAATGGATTTTAGGGTATTTTATTATCCTAAAAAGAAACCCTGTATCCCTTAGTCACCACCCCCACCCCCACCCCCACCCACCCTCCCAGATCTGTCATCCTCTAGCCCTGGGCAAGCATTAATCCACTTGCTGTCTCTGTAGATTAGCCTATTCTGGACATGTCATATAAAATTGAATTACATAATATATGGTCTTTTGTGTCTGGCTTTTTTCATCTTTAGCATGTTTTCTAGGTTCATCCATGTTGTAGCATATATCAACTACTTCTTTCTTCTTATGTCTGAATAATATTCTGTTGTATGGATAAACACATTTTATTTTTTCACCTCTTAATGGACATTTGGGTAGTTACTACTTTTTTTAATATTATAAATAATTTTTTATGAACATTTGTGTAGAAGTTGTTGGGTAGACCCATGTTTTTATTTCTCAGGTATATACTTTGGAATGGAATTATGTGTTGTTTATTTTTTATTTTTTTATTTTCATTTAAAAACTTTTTTTTTTATTTTTTTTATTTTAGAGAGAGAAGAAGTGAGAGGGAGAGAGAGCTAGAACATCAATTGGCCACCTCCTGCATGCTCCCCACTGGGGATTTGGCCCACAACCTGGCCATGTGTCCTGATCGGGAATTGAACCAGCAGCCTCTTGGTGCATGGGTCGATGCTCAACCACTGAGCCACACCGGCCGGACTCTTTCTTTTATTGATTTGAGGGAGCAAGGGAGAGAGAGAGAAACATTGATTTGTTGTTTCACTTATTTATGCTATCATTGGTTGATTCTTGTATGTGCTCTGACTGGGGATCCAACCTACGACCTTGGCCTATTGGGACAATGCTCTAACCTGCTGAGCTACCCAGCCAGGGTAGGAGTGGAATTGTTGAAGCATATGGTAAATCTGTGTTTGATGTTTTGAGAAATTGCCAGATTGTTTTCCAAAGCAGTGTTACCATTTTGCATTCCCACCAACAATGTATGAGAGGGTTCCATTTTATCCACATCTTCACCAACACTCACTTTCTCTTTGATAGTAGCCGTCCTAGTGGATATGAAATGACGTCTCTCTGTGGTTTTGATTTGCATTTCCATAATGATTAGTGATGTTGAACATCTTTTCTTGTGCTTATTGACCATTTGTATAAGCTCTTTGATGAAATGTCTATTATATCTTTTGTTCATTTTCTTGCTCGTCGGGTTCTTTGTTTTTTGTTATTGAGTTATAGGAGGTTTTTTTACATTTTTTTGACTGTTGATCCTTTATCAGATATATGATTTCTACGTATTTTCTCTCATTTGGTCTTTTCACTCTTGATAGTGTTGGATTCATAAAAACTTTTAATTTTGATGAAGTACAATTTAACCTAATATTTTTATTTTGTTGCCTATACTTTTGTTGTCACATCCAAAAATTTGTTATCCAGCGTCATGAAACTTTTCTTTTTTTTTTTTTTTTTAATTTTATGGTTTTAATTCTTATATTTAGGTCTATGATCTATTTTGAGTAAATTTTTATTTATTTATTTATTTTAATCTTCACCTGAGGATATTTTTCTATTTATCTTCAGGTAGAGAGAGAGAGAAACATCGATGTGAGAAAGACACTGGTTGTCTTCCACACGACCACGGCCAGGGCCGGGAACAAACCGCAACCGAGGTATGTACCCTTGGCTGGAATCAAACCCGGGACTCATTGGTCCATGGGCTTATTTTCTACTACTGAGCCAGACCGGCCAGGGCTTAACTCTCTGGTTTAACTCACTTCTTTGTATAGCCCAAGTAATCACAATTTAAGTCCAGAGCTTATAGGGCTATCAAGTCATTTTCCATGTGTCAGTTTTTTTTCATAGGTGAACAATGTTTTAGTTTCTTAAGGAGAGAACCTAGGTAGACATTTTCCCTTTCTTTTTAGCTGAGCTCCTCGCCAAAAAACAGCCATTAAAAACCAGTGAGGTGTACTCTGACGATGAGGAGGAGGAAGAGGATGACAAGTCCAGTGAAAAGTCAGACCGCTCATCCCGAACATCATCATCTGATGAAGAAGAAGAGTAAGCTTGTGTACATTTTAATCTGGTAGTTAGGATAGGTGGGGTTTTTTAAGAGAAACTTAGTGTAGTTTCCAAAAGCTCTCTGTTTGGGCTGTGAATATGGTTTGGTTCAGTACCCTGAATTGCTGAGCTGAGTTCCCCGGTACATTAGCCCAAACACGTTCCTGCCTTTGGCTCTTGGCCTGGACATTTCGTTTGGGCCCAGTTGGTAGGAACTGACTTCATGTCACCCTCACATTGGACAGATGCTTCCGTTTGTTTTCTTACTCTGCTAGGTGATCTGGGATGGCAGCCTTATCAACATAGTTCACACTCTGGTTGGGAATAGGATTCTATTATCCCTCCTTCCTATTAGTTCATGTATTTCTCCTACTACCTTAATCACATGTTCTTTGATTATGTTGAGTTTTAAGAAATTGGTATTATTTATTTATCTTGAGCTGTTTTTATGATGAACACTTTTCCCAGTGCCCTTTGTTCCACACAGGAAAGAAGAGATCCCTCCAAAATCACAACCAGTCTCTTTACCCGAAGAATTAAATCGGGTTCGATTATCACGGCATAAGCTAGAACGTTGGTGTCATATGCCCTTCTTGGCTAAAACTGTCACCGGATGTTTTGTACGGATTGGCATTGGAAACCACAACAGCAAACCAGTTTACCGGGTTGGTATTTCTTTCCTTGGACAATTATCCATGTTTTAAATATAATGACTCTCAATTGGGACTAAGAGATACTGCATGAATCTGTCACTCTTCCAATCCCATTTGATGGGAAATAGACTGAGATGCCTGGAAAATAGTGACAAACTGAGGTAACATGACCAGCTGCCAAGAAGAGTACTTAGAGCTAAAGGGCTTGGTGGGTTTTGATTTAGAATAATTTTTCTATCTTTCATATAAAAGCAAGAAGGGTAACATTTATGAAGTAGTCAGTGTTACACAGTAAGTCCTCACTAAACATTGTTGATAAGTTCTTGAAAACTATGACTTTAAGTGAAACAAAATACAGTGAAACCAGTTTTACTATAGCTTAATTGATCTAAGCAAGAGTTAAGTTTCTATGACATATTTATGGTCACAGAAACATCCCCAAATGTCTAAATAGAGACTCAAAACACTTCTAATATTAAATATTGAAAGAAATGTGAGTTGTACATACATGTTTTTCTTTCTTTTTTATTTTAATCCTCACCCAAGGATATTTTTCCAGAGAGAGGGAGGGGGAGAGACAGAAACATCGATGTGAGAGAGACACATTGACTGATCGACTCCCGCACAACCCCGACCAGGGCTGGGGACAAACCGCAACCAGGGTATGTGCCCTTAACTGGAATTGGTGACTCTTTAGTCCACAGGCCGATGCTCTAACCGCTGAGCCAAACCAGCCAGGGCACATTTAAGAAAGATTAATACGGGCTTCCAGTCAAGATAGTGGTGTGGGAAAATGCAAACTGAACTACGTAACAACCATCATTCAGAATCACCTGAAATCTAGCTGAACAGAAGTTCTGCAAAGGATATAAAGAAAAAAATCACATGGAGACTGGTAGAAGGGGCAGAGACACCAAAAGGGCTGTTCCCACATTGAGAGGGATGTCTTGGCTGTGGAGGTCCCCCTGAGGAGCAAGGGATCCTAGCCCAATACCAGGCCCCGCAGCCCAGGGTACCAGTCCAAGAAGAGAAATCCCTATATCTTCAGGCTGTGGAAACCAGAGTAGATTGAGGCTGAGGAGATGGAGGGTTGCTGGAGTCTCTGGCAGTTCTTCTTAAAAGGCCTGCACACAGACTCACTCAGATTCACTTTCTCTGATTTCTAGTGCCACTGCTGGGGCAGCAGCTCAAAAGCACCAGAGACATACTGAATTGTCTGGCATTAGGGCGAAAGCTGGAGTGCAGCTTTCTCCCAAAAGAAGTGCTGGCAGAGGCCACTGTTCCTCTTCTAAGCCCTTCCCCCACTGAGCCTGCAGCCATATCTGAGTCTCCCATCCACCTGGCTAGCATTGTTTGCCCCTTCCAGGTGATTCCCCGAGGCTCTGCCCCACCAGCTTGCTGGCCCACACAAGCTGTTTCTAATGGCTTTTCCATAAGAATGGCCTGTCTTGGCTCATGCTGATTCATTTCCTAAAATCTCAAACAAGCAGCATTTGTCCTTGGCATGCCCTATACCTCTTGCTGAGTGGCCCCAGCCCTGGCACTAGGGGCACCTGGCCTTAGTTCACAGCTTGGCCTTACCTGGGCACCCTCAAGCCCAGCTCAAGTAGGAGCCATCTGCAGATTGCTCTGTAGTTTATACTGGGTGGCTCTTAGTCTGTACCTCCTGGGAGGCTCCAGAGCCAGCACCACCAGTGGACAGCTTCATACCTTGCCAGAGTACCACCCAACCACCTCCACGAATGACACATTCAAAGGGTAAACTAGTTGGGCATAAGAGCCCCACTGAAGTGAGTCCTTCTTCATAGGGTTGGACCCTGCACAGTAGCTCCTTTGCTGTGGTCACAGCCAGTTCTTGCGCAGCTGATTAGCCTAGAGCTATATCACTCCCATTGATGTGCCAACAGCATTCAAGGCTCAAATATAACGGGAGGGTGCACACAACTGACACCAAGGGTGCACCTAGAGGGCCCAGTTTAGGTGACGGGAGGCTGTGCTACTGGGCCCTAAAGGACACCTACTACATAAGGCCACCGTACTAAGACTGGGAGACATAGCAGCTCTACCTGATACATAGAAACAAACACAGGGAGGCTGCCAAAAAGAGGAGACAAACATCCCAAAGAAAGAACAAAAAGCAACAGAAAGAGAACCTGTATACAATGGAGACAAACAATCTACCAGATGCAGAGTTCAAACACTGATTATGAGGATGCTTAATGAACTTAATGAACTACTCTTCCCCTAAGAGTGTAAAAACTTTGACAGAGATAAAAAAAAGAACATAGAAATGGAGATAGAAAACATAAAATAGAACCAGTCAGAAATGAAGAATACAATAACTAAAATGGCTCGATTTCCAATCAGGGCACATACCCAGGTTGTGGGCTCAATCCCCAATGGGAGGCATGCAGGAGGAAGCCAACTGATGTTTCTCTAAAAAAAAAAAAAAAATCAATAAAAACATTTATAATAAAACACATTTTTAAAAAGGAATGCATTATAGAGAATCAACAGTAGAGTAGCTAAAACAAAGGATCAAATCAGCAATTTGGAAAATAAGAAACAGAAAGCACCTAATCAGAACAGCAAAAAATAAAAGAATTGAAAAAAGAATAGTTTAAGGATTCTCTGGGACAACTTCAAGTATACCAACATTTGCATCATGGGGTTGCTGGAAGGAGAAGAGAGAGAGCAAGAAATAAACCTATTTGAAAAAAAAAAAAAAAATGACAAAAAAAACCTCCCTAACATGATAAAATAAATAGACATGAGCCCGTGAAGCACACAGAATACTAAACAAGATAAACTCAAAGAGACCCACACCAAGACACATTATAATTAAAATGTAAAAGGTTAAAGACAGAGAGAATCTGAAAAGCAGTTAGTTACCTTCGAGGGAGCTCCCATAAGACTCAGTTGATGTCTCAGCAGAAATTTTGCAGGCCAGAAGGGATTGGCATGAAATATTCAAAGTGATAAAAAGCAAGAACCTACAACCAAGATTACTCTACCCAGCAAAGCTATCATTTAGAATCGAAGGGTGGATAAAGAGCTTCCCAGATAAGAAAAAGCTAAAGGAATTCACCACCAAACCAGTATTACATGAAATACTAAAGATTCTTCTTGAAGGAGAAGAAGAAAGATGATAAAAAAAGGTCAGCCCTGGCCAGTTTGGCTCAGTGGTAGAGCGTCAACCCGCAGACCAAAGAGTCGTGGGTTTGATTCTGGTCAAGGGCATGTACCTTGGTTGTGGTTCATCCCCGGCCCTTGCCAGGTTGTGCAGGAGGCAGCCAGTTGATGTGTCCCTCTCACATCGATGTTTCTCTCTCCCTTTCTCTATCCCACTTTATCTAAAGATAAAAAGAAAAATATCCTCAGGTGAGGATTTTTTTAAAAAAGGATTGCCCTGGCCAGTTTGGCTCAGCGGTTGGAGCATCGGCCTGAGGTCTGGAGAGACCCGGGTTTGGTTCCTGCTAGGGGCATGTACCTCGGTTGCAGTTTATCCCTGGCCCTGGTTGGTCGTGTGGGTGGCAGCCACTCGATGTGTCCCTTTCGCATCGATGTCTCTCTCTCCCTCCCGCTCTATCTGAACAAAATATGGAAAAATATCCTCGGGTGAGGATTAAAAAAAAAAAGGATGGTCAATAAAATAGCAATGAGTACATATCAACAATTGAATTTAAGAAACAAAATAAACAAACAGAATAGAAACAGTCATAGATGTGGAGAACATTTTGATGGTTACCAGATAAGAGGGGGCTGAGAGGTTGAGTGAAAAAGGTGAAGGGATTAAGAAGTATAAATTGGTTTTTACAGAATAGTCATGGGGATGTAAAGAACAACATAGGAAATATAGTCAATAGTATTCTAATAACTATATATGGTGTTACATGGGCATGAGATGTATTGGCATGAACACTTAGTACATTATATAATGTCAAATTACTGAGTTGTACACCTAAAACTAATATAATATTGTATGTCAACTGTAATTGAACAATAAAAAATGATTTAAAAGATAAAACACTAAGTTGATTGAAAAGATAATAAATTGAAGTAAGATCATTTTTTATTAATTTTTTTTAGAAAGAGAGGAAGGGAGAGAGAGAAACATCAATATGAGAGAGAAGCATTGATTGGCTGCCTCCCGAACAACCCCCCACTGGGGACCAAGCCCGAAACCCAGGCCTGTGCTCTGACCATGAATCGAACTGGGACCTCTCAATCCACAGGACGATGCTCAATCCACTGAGCCACACAGGCTGGGCAAGATAAGATAATACTTTTTTTTTTTTTTTATCCTCACCCGAGGACATTTTTCCATTTTTTGTACAGACAGAGTGGGAGGGAGAGAGAGGAAGGGAGAGAGAGGGAAACATCGATGTGAAAGGGACACATCGAGTGGCCGCCACCCGCACGACCAACCAGGGCCGGGGACAAACTGCAACCAAGGCACATGCCCCTAGCGGGAACCGAACCTGGGTCTCTCCAGACCGCAGGCGGACGCTCTAACCGCTGAGCCAAACCGGCCAGGGCAAGATAAGATAATACTTTTTAAACCCAGTTATTCTGGTTCAGGGTCATGGGTGTCAGGGTGCAAGGCAGGGACATCCCCTCCCACAAACAGAATGCTCTTCTATCACAGGATGCACTCACACACACAGACTGGGGCACTGTAGACACCTCAGTTCACCTCATGTGCACATTTTTTAGATGTGGGAGGAAACCAGAGTCCCCAGAGAAAACCCACAGAGACAGTGGTTCTGGCCAGGAATCAATTTTATTTCTCTTATCAACGTTATAACAAAATGACTCAACAAAACAACATTATTTATGCACCTACTATAAATGAAAATTTTCCGTGATACATACTAAGTGACTTCCGGAACAAGGAATTATATTGCGGTTTTATTTTATTTTATTTTTTTTATCCTCACCCGAGGATATTTTTCCATTTTTTGTACAGATAGAGTGGGAGGGAGAGAGAGGAAGGGAGAGAGAGAGAGAAACATCGACGTGAAGGGACACATCGAGTGGCTGCCACCCGCACGACCAACCAGGGCCGGGGACAAACTGCAACCAAAGTACGCGCCCTTAGCGGGAACCGAACCCGGGTCTCTCAGGACCGCAGGCCGACGCTCTAACCGCTGAGCCAAACCGGCCAGGGCTATATTGCGGTTTTAAAAAATAAGACCCAGCGTTTGGCCATTGTGGCTCAGTGTTTGAGCGTCGACCCATGCACCAATAGGTCGCCTGTTCGATTCCTGGTCAGGGCACATGCCCAGGTTACGGGCCAAATTCCCAGTAGGCAGCATGCAGGAGGTGGCCGATCGATGTCCTCTCTCATCGATGTTTCTAACTCTCTCTATTTCTCCCTTTCTCTCTCTCTAAAATCAATAAAGAGCCCTGGCTGGTTTGGCTCAGCGGTTGGAGCATCGGCCTGTGGTGCAGAGAGACCCGGGTTCGGTTCCCGCTAAGGGCACGTGCCTCGGTTGCAGTTTGTCCCCGGCCCTGGTTGGTCGTGAGGGTGGCAGCCACTCGATGTGTCCCTTCACATCGATGTTTCTCTCTCTCTCTCTTCCTCTCTCTCCCTCCCGCTCTATCTGAACAAAAAATGGAAAAATGTCCTCGAGTGAGGATTAAAAAAAATAATAATAAAAAAAATAAAATCAATAAAGAAAAATACATGGCCCGGCTGGTGTGGCTCAGTGGTTGAGCATCAACCCATGCACCAAGAGGTCACTGGTTCAGTTCCCAGTCAGGGCACATGCCCAGGTTGTGGGCCAAATCCCCAATATGGGGCATGCAGGAGGAGGCCAGTTGATGTTCTCTTTCACTGATGTTTCTATCTCTCTCTCTCTCTCTCTCTCCGTCTCCCTTCCTCTTTCTAAAATCAATAAAGAAAAAGAAATTTAAAAAAAAAGAAAAGAAAAATAAATGAATAAATAAAAATAAGACCCAGCCCTGGCCGGTGTGGCTCAGTGGTATAGCGTCAGCCCATGCACCAAAGGGTCGTGGGTTCAATTCCTAGTCAAGGGCACGTAACTGAGTTGCAGGTTCAATCTCTAGACCCAATTGGGGCATGTGCAGGACACAACCAGTCAATGGTTGCCCCTCTCTCTCTACAGTTGTCCCTTGCCACTTCACACATTGACTTTTGCGGCTTCATATAAATAAAGAATCCTACTTCTTGGAAATGCATTTATCATCATAGAGTCTGCAACTGATTAACCATGATAAACGAGGGCTAATTGTATCTCTCTCACTCTCACTCCCTCCCTTTCTTCCCCTATATCTAAAAATCAATGGAAAAATATTCTCGGGTGAGGATTAACAACAACAAAAAATTTTTTAATCAATGGAAAAAATATCTTCTGGTGAGGATTAACAAAAAAACAATAAAAAAAACCTCAGTCTAACAGAGGATTCCAGCACTGCTTCTATAGTCTGGATGGTTGGAGCATAGCAGTTTGAACTTTTTTTTTCTTTATGTTTTTGTTCTGGGTTGTATGCTTTTTTCCTATTTATTTATTTATTTATTTATTTATTTATTTATTTTTGTATGCTTTTTTTTCTTTAATTTTTTTTTCTTTATTTACTTTTAGAGAGAGAGATAGAAACATAGATGAGAGGGAACATCGATTGGCTGCCTCCTGCATGCCCCCTACTGCCTCCTGCATGCCCCCTACTGGGGATCAGCCCCACAACCTGGGCATGTACCCTGACCGGGAATCGACACTCAACCACTGAGCCACACCGGCGGGGCTGGGTTATATGCTTTTAACATACCATACCCTGGAAAGCTTGGCAATGGAAACTGATTTCCATGGTCTTCATATTTGGTTGATAAAACCAACCTCTGAAATTCCAAGTATATCCCCTAGTAAGGTAGAAGTAAGTTGGAGGGGAAGCTTCTAATGAACCCCTGTAGTCTAACTGCCTCCTCTTCTGGTGCTTGCTTACTCTGGGCACAGGGCTCCTGGTGTTTGGCCATTAATCCTAAACCTGAGAAAGGTGCCCAGAACACCTTTCAGCTGTGAAATCCTCTCAGTTGCAAAGTCACTGTCTGCATTCAGGTAGATAGAGCCAAAGAGAGTGGTATGGAGAGCTCTTTATTAAAAGTTGTTGATTACATTGATATCATGCTGTGCTGTAGTTAATTATAAGACTTTTTTAAAAAACATTTTATAGCCCTGGCTAGTTTGACTCAGCAGGTAGAGCGTTGGTCCGAGAACCAAAGGGTCTTGGGTTCAATTCCCAGTCAAGGACACATACCTCAGTTGCAGGTTCAATCCCCAGCCCTGGTTGGCCCCCTTCTGGGTCGTGCCAGGGGCAACCAGTTGATGTCTCTCTGATGTTTCTCTCTCTCTCTCTTCTCTTTCCTTTCCCTCCCACTCTATCCAAAAATTAATGGGAAAATATCCTCAGGTGCAGATTAACAACAAAAAAAGTCTTTTTTTTAATGTTGTCTCTGTCCTTTCACTTAGGTTGCTGAGATCACGGGTGTTGTGGAAACCGCCAAGGTTTACCAGCTTGGTGGCACCAGAACAAACAAAGGGCTCCAGCTACGGTAGGAGAGGTGTTTGTGTGTGGCAGCTTCTGCTCCCATTACAAACAGGCACTGCCTTGTGGGCTCTTATTCTCTCCCACTGTGATGTTTCTCTGCTTTGCCTAGAGGGAAAGTAGGATATATCTCTTTCATAACGGAAATCAGGGCTATGAAGTGGTAGGATATATAGAAGTAAAATGTCACGTTGTGAGACCGCCCTCCTCCTAGATCCTGCAGGCATTTCCTGAGCATGGTCAAGAGGCCGCTTCTGGTCCTGGCTCTGTCACTGACTAATCTGATCTTTGACAAGTCAGGTCACCTTTCTGGACTTAGTTTCCTCTTCGGTAATATGATATTTACTGAATGCCTGCTACATGCCACTGTTCTGTGCATCAGGGTAGAGGCAAGAACAAAATAGACACACACAGATCCCTGCCCTCTTGAAGCCTAAAGATTTAAAGCCCCATATAAGAAGGAATAGAAGCAGCTTGCCAGGACCACTGCAAAAAAGCAGGTAATAGACACTGCTCTGCTGTGACCTGATTTCCTCTCGATGGGTCCTCCCATTCCTTTCTCCCATCCCATTACCTCTCTTGGTCTGTTTGAAAAGAACCAGTTGGGGAGGGCAGTGGCCATGATGTGCAACGAGTGACCATCTCTCGGAGAATGGCACTTATTTAACTTTGTCAGCACAGGGGTCAGTAGAAAGGCCCCTCTAGGAAATAGTTTCCTTGTCATTCAGATATGTGCATAATATTTCATATTCTGGATGCCAATGACTGTGACGAATTCATTACAAATGGACTTTTGAAGTACTGGCCAAGTCCATAGCTTTGGTTCTTAATCCTGGCTGGCCATGAGAACAACCTGGAAGGTTTTGTTTGTTAATTTCAGTGCCTGTTTCCTACTCCCAGAGATTCTTATTCAGTTGACCTACAGTGATGCTTTGGCACTGGACTTTTTATAAATCTTGGTGATGCTAAAGGGTAGCCAGGATTGAGAACCACAGAGATGGGTGGTACACAGTCTGGTAGGGTTGCTTTTCTGGTACTTCAGTCAACATACCTATTCTTGGAGATGCTGTCTCTTTTTTTATGTAGGCATGGCAATGACCAACGGGTATTCCGCCTAGAATTTGTCTCAAACCAAGAATTCACTGAAAGTGAATTTATGAAGTGGAAAGAAGCGGTAAGTAGATAGACAACACCTAGCTGTTATTCCTAAAAACAGTTACAGCGTCTTTTTCCAGAATTACTTAGTAATACAACTGTTTACTATGTTTTGTTCCAGATGTTCTCTGCCGGCATGCAGTTGCCCACTCTAGATGAAATCAATAAGAAAGAATTATCTATTAAAGAAGCTCTTAATTATAAATTCAATGATCAGGACATTGAAGAGGTAAGAAAACTGGTACTCCAGAGCCTAAGGTTCATCAAGAACCACTGTTAATCCAGCCGGTGTGGCTCAGTGGATTGCACGTCATCCCATGGACTGAGAGGTCCCAGTTCCATTCCCCAGTGGGGGGGCATGCAGGAGGTAGCCGATGGATGTTTCTCTTTCACATAGATGTTTCTCTCTCTCACTAAAAAAATCAATAAAAACATATATATATATTTTTTAATCCTCACCTGAGGATATTTTTACATTTATCTTCAGATAGAGTGAGGGGAAGGGGGAGAGAAACATCGATGTGAGAGAGACACATCGATTGGTTGCTACCCATACAACCCCAACCAGGGCAGGGGACAAACCGCAACCAAGGTACATGTCCTTGGCCAGAATCGAACCTGGGACTCTTTGGTCCACAGGCCTATGCTCTAACCACTGAGCCAAACCCGCCAGGGCCATATTTTTTAAAAATCAATAAAAATATATATTTTTCTATAAAGGGCCAGGGAAGGGGGCGGGGTCAGTGGAGGAAAAAGGAGAAACATCTGTAACAAAAATAAATTAATTAAATAAAAAGAAAAAAAGAACCAGTGTTAGAAAAGAGTATGACTTTCTTTCCCTGAGTCTTGATGTTTTTAGCTATCCTATTATTGCATAAGGATGAGGAAATGCTGATATTGCTGTCTTACTATTTATAGTTACCAAGATTTTTCTATACATTCTCATTTGAAGTCATAAACTATAGAAGTGTATTCAGGGTTTAGGGATTTGTATTCTGCTGGGCTTGGTCCTTCAAGAGTTTTTTTTTTCCTCCAACACATTTTGGTTGGATCTCTGTTCTCTTGGACAGTGGCTAGCCTTACGGTACCAGGCCTTTGGGCTGCTGCTGTTTATTGGTATATGTTCCTTCAGCCTGTCCCGAAAAATCTCTGTGACCCTGGAAGAACCATAGTATATCCCTTGGAGTGAATTTACTCTCTCTGGGGCATGACACTGCTGTAGGAAGAGCAGCCCCATTTTAACTAACTGCTTGCCTTCAAAATGGGCTCACTTAGCTGCTCTATAAAAATAGTTTAGGAATACCTCACTGCTGGTATCTCCTCTCTGGTACAGATTGTAAAAGAGAAAGAAAGGTTCAGAAAAGCTCCACCCAACTATGCTATGAAGAAGACTCAGCTGCTAAAAGAAAAGGTAAGGACTTGCCCTCAAACCTCTTCCCTGTCCTAGAAGGATTTGTAGAAGTCAAACTTGTTCACCCTCTGTCAAGTAAGTGGTGGCAGGATTTTCGTAACTATAAATTGCAACTGATCTTGCTTGTTCCTTTCTTCTTACATTCTAATCACTTCAGTTTCGTGTATAATCAGATAGACCCCAGGGTAATATCAGCACTGGGTCTGCACAGCTGAATGATATTTGCCAACCCCAGCTGCAGTAGGTGGTTTTCCATTCTTCACATTAGGACAGGGTGAGCCTTGGAGTGAGTTAGCTACATAGGGCCTAAGGTTAATGCCACCAGGGGCCCAGAGCCAGGTAGCTATATGGGAATGTGTTACTACTATAATAAAAAGTGTACTTTGCATTTGTAAAGTTTGTTTTCAGTATTCTTTCACATCTCCTGTCATTTGTTCATCATATAAGTTCACTTGCCTGTGCTGGAAGTCAAGGGACACTTGATACAGATTGTAGCCAAAATCCAATACTTTTCTCTGTGTGCAGGCTATGGCTGAGGAGCTGGGGGATCAGGACAAGGCCAAACAAATCCAAGACCAGCTGAATGAGCTGGAGGAGCGGGCAGAGGCCCTGGACCGTCAGCGGACCAAGAACATATCTGCTATTAGGTGTGTTACAGAGCCTGTTTTGATTGGGCTACTGTCCTTGGTCCGCAGACCTTGCCACCATGCTCGGCGAGCCTGTGGCCTTGTGTGTGCTGTGCTGCCCTGGCCCCGCACATCTCAGGCAGAGCTCAGCGTTCCCTCCTCCTTTCACAGCCCACTGACTCCTTCCTCTTACTCACTCCCTAGTTACATCAACCAGAGGAACCGGGAATGGAACATTGTGGAGTCTGAGAAGGCCCTAGTGGTAAGATAACTTTATCTGGATCACTGAAAATAATTTCAACTAATAAAATATGAAATCCTCTCTACATCTTGCTTGAATTTATTTTTTAAATTATTGAAATAGCATGTTCACTTAACATATACATACTCTCTCTGTATGAATACATATACTCATATATATATAATTCAATTTATAATGAAAAGCAGCAGTCTTCTGCCCTTCTTATCCCTCCTGTCCTTAGATTCTACTCCACAGGTATTTGTTTTTATCCATTTCCAGTTTTGTTCCATAGGTTGTTGCCACTATATCTACTGTGGTGTTCTTGAAAGAAAAGAATGATAGACAGCTTTGACTTTTTTCAGGCCCTTGCAAAGACTGTTATTTATATGTAAGCTTATGATGAGAGGAGGGGGAAAGGACATACAGTTCTGTATGTAATGTGTGCTCTCTGTTTCAGGCTGAAAGTCACAACATGAAAAACCAACAGATGGATCCCTTTACCAGGAGGCAGTGCAAACCTACCATCGTTTCTAATGTGAGTGCCTAAAGAGGACGTTTTCAGTCAGGACCTAGATTCTGGGATATCAAATGAATTCCATTAGGGCATTAATAAAGAAGTTAAAAATAATGTTGTCTTAGTGGGATTTGCTTGTCTCAAACTCTTGAGTCTGGATACTTCCTTTTTTATCTTGCTGTAGGACATCCAGGTGGTGAAAACCTGGCATGGATTTATAGAAACCTGTGGACTAACCCCCCTGTGCCACAGACCTTAGAAATGTGTAGGCTGGGTCACCTGCTTAGGCCTGGCTAGGCTGGCTTGGCTTCAGAGCTTTTAATTGCCTCTTTTTGCTGCCTTGAGGAAACCCCTACTAAGCTGCTAATGGGGCCACTGTGGTGTTTGTGATGGTAGCAGTGGTAGGTGGGAAAGAATTGTAATAGGACTGTGCGAATGTTGAACAATCTCTACAATAACTTATTTTCTCTCTCAGTCCAGAGACCCAGCTGTTCAAGCTGCCATCTTGGCCCAGCTGAATGCAAAATACGGTTCTGGAGTGTTACCAGATGCTCCAAAGGAAATGAGCAAGGTGTGTGCAGCACCACTCTGCCCTGCGGAGCTAGGCTGCTGGCCTGGACACCAGAGCAAGAACCTTGCCTAGTTTGGGCTTGATTTTCCCACCTGGAGGAACATGGGGTCCCACTGGCCATCCTTTCTCCATCCCAGTTATGTACAAATGTGGTAAACAGCTACTGGGTTTTGGTCATATGACTTAAATTCTAAAGACACCACCACTGCCCTGACCAGTTTGGTTCAGCGGTTAGAGCATCGGCCTGCGGTCCGGAGAGACCCAGGTTCGGTTCCCGCTAAGGGCACGTACTTCGGTTGCAGTTTGTCCCCGGCCCTGGTTGGGTCGTGCGGGTGGCAACCACTCGATGTGTCCCTTTCATGTCGATGTTTCTCTCTCTCTTTCTCCCTCCCACTCTATCTGAACAAAATATCAAAATAATAATAATTAAAAAAATAATAATAATGAAGACACCACCACTTCACCCAGCTGGTGTGGCTCAGTGGTTGAGTGTCAACCCATGCACCAAGAAGTCACCGGTTTGATTCCCAGGCAGGGCACATGCCCACGTTTCAGGCTCAATCCCCAGTAGGGGGCATGCAGGAGGCAACTGATCAGTGGTTCTCTCTCATCGCTGTGTCTTTCTCTTTCTCCCTCTCCCTGTCTCTCTCCCTAAAATCAATAAAGAAGCCCTGGCCGGTTTGGCTCAGCGGTTGGAGCATTGGCCTGCGGACCAGAGAGTCCTAGGTTCGGTCCCGCTAGGGGCACATACCAAAAAATAATAATAACAAAATATAAAATAAAACCAATGAAGAAGAAAAAAATTTTTTTAAAAAGATACCACCACTTCTTAATTCAGCCCTTCACTGCAGCTTTAGGCAACTGACATCTAGCCCTCTGACCTACATTTTCTCTTATGTACAGTGGGTGTCATACTCTGTACCCTGCCTACCTCACAGGATAATTAGGAGCCTATGACACATAAGGGTCAAACAGTGACAAAAGTGAAAGCTCTTTGAAAACTAAAATATGAAACTGAGAGGAAATGTGCATTCAGAAGTACTTTTCTGTCTAAGTTAGGTGTTTTCCTGTGGAGCCCAAACTGTCCCAGGAATTCCTAAAATCTTGGCTCAGAAGGTTGGCTTGTCTTAACCTTATCCTTTCTACCCTCACACCATGCACATGAGCCTACCCTCTTCTCGTTGCTTTTAGGCTTCAGAAAAAAAACCTCTCTGTCTGCGGCCTCTTGTCCTCTGAGAAAAGGAATCAGAAAAGGGCCTGAGTAGGAAGGTCTAATGAACTTGAGCAAGAGCTTTTACCATGAAGGCCTGCTGCTTTTGAAGTCCACTTACATTTATGCTTTTATAATTAGTTTTTCTCTTCATATTGCAGGGTCAGGGAAAGGATAAAGATTTGAATTCTAAGTCAGCCAGTGACCTCTCAGAAGACTTGTTCAAAGTACATGATTTTGATGTGAAGATTGATTTACAAGTTCCCAGCTCAGGTAGGTGAGGGTGGGGAATGGTTATGGCCAAGGACCAGAGAGCTCCATGGCCCTCTGGTCTGCAAAGCAGCTGTTTTAGGAAGAGATGGAGGTTTCTGCTCATCAGTACTTCTAGAGGCTGCAGGGATATTTTGAGAGGGAATAGGGACAGTCAGGAAGGCTCCCTGAGCAAGTGAAGCACAAGACTAAAGGACTTTGTAGGTACCTCAGCTGCCAATTTGCTCTTCTTTCCCATAGAGTCAAAGGCTTTGGCCATCACTTCCAAGGCTCCACCAGCCAAGGATGGGGCTCCAAGGAGATCTCTGAACTTGGAAGACTACAAAAAACGACGGGGGCTTATTTGAGCACACCCAGCCTGCTGCTTCCGACCCTGCATGCCCATCACAGTGCCCCACCTTTCCTCTTCCTTTGATTCGCCCTCTTTGGGCTGGAGCAGCAGTAGAAACTGGGAAGAGACTCTATACTGCCAGTCATCTGTAACATAAACCATTTGCTGTATAGACCTCCCTTGTCTACACCATCTCCCATCAACCCCATCCCCCCCAGGCCTCACCCAGTGTGGACCTGGGCTCTCTTGGGCTTTATCCATGTCTTTAGATCTGTGTTTGCCTTTTTTTTTGAAACCAGCACAGTTCATTGGCCACTCTGCACGCATTCAGTATTACCGTGGAGCTGGGATTCTTGCTGGAGCCCCTGGTGGTGATAGCAGCAGCACTGGGCAGTCTCCTCTCTGGACTGCCTTGGACCCAAACATTGAACATTTGAAACCTGGCCCTTGTGGAGAGAGTGGGTTCTGGGCACCTGCAGTCCTCCTTCCTCTCTCCTCATCTTTCTCTTCTTCCCATCCCTTTGGAAGAGGGGTTTTCAAAACCAATTTAGTTTCCAAAAAGTGTATATTTGTGGGGAGGGAGGGGGGGTCTATTTGAGAGAGAGAGAGAGAATGTGTGTGTGTGTGTGTGTGTGTGTGTCTGTAAGTGTGGATTTTTTTATCATTTTTTAAAATGCAGTACTCTTTGTATCAGTCTGTCATGGGTCTATAGCTGTTTCAGATTTTTTTCAGCTGTACTTGAGCATCTGAAACTGCAAGAAAGAAATTCATTAAATGTGATTCTTCTTACTAAACAGGCCTGACTGCTGTAGCTGTGTAACTTCCCTTCCCCACCTCCTCTTCCTCATCACCTCCCCACCTCAGAGAAAACTCCCCGGTTTGGCCCCTTCCCTGTCTGTCGTGTCCTGGCAGGTGGGAGGGAAGCCCAGGGCCAGGTACCAGGGAGGGCAGTGCAGGTATCTCTCATCCCATGGGCACAGCCACAGCTTCTTGGCTGAACTTAGAATGAATCTTTTTCCTACCCTATGTACTTGTCTCTTTCTAGTGATTCTGTTTTGCGGTTTCAGTAAGAATAATATTTTGTTTTTAAGAGAAAGTATTCAACATGATGTGGAGAGAACAAACACAATAAGATTTAGGTTGCAAATGTTACAAGCATGTGCAGTTTTGTGTGTGTGTATACATATATATATGGTGAGCATAGTTGTGCAGCCAGGGTGGAGCCAGCAAAGAAGTGTGTATGTCTTTATGAAATGTTTGAAAAGAGATAAGCTGACTGCTTGATAATCATTCTCAGGTGTAAAGCTCCAAGTGTAAATAAAAGTGGCATTTAACAAATCTTTTCAGAACAAAGTACAGCTGACTATATATACAAAGGACTAAGCTAAAGAAACAGCTGAGAGCTGCTGATTCCCACAAGAGGGAGAGGAAATCTAGCCAAAAGCTCAGCTTACATTTCCCTACTTTTCTGTATAGGGAGTGGGGTGATAGGAAATCATGGAGTTAAGTTGTATTTAAACATAAAAATGAACTTGCTAACTCTTCTGGGTTTAGTAGAGCCTCAGCGTTGCTTTAACTTAGTTTACACTTTTTTATTTTAAAAATGCTGTAATGGATGGTTTTTAAAAAAGTATTATGACTGTAAAAGTGATCGCTATGACTGTAACAGAGCTGTGTGGTTAGCTGTGACACAGTGCAGTTGGGCAAAGGAGTGGTGATGGACTCATTAAAATCATCTATACTTGAATAGTCCATTGACCAGAACCCTTTTCAGACGATTGTGTAAATGTGGAATCACAGACTGTTAAATGTTGCCTGGACTCCGACAGAGTCCCAGAGGCTGCTGGGACTTCTCTGATCATGACGAACTTGGACTTTTTTCTCTTTCTGGTTTTAAAAGACATGAAATTATAGAATCCATATAATTTGCTGGAATCGTTCTGATTCACCATGTAGATCTGTATTTAGTATCCTTTGGATTTGGAGAAGTGTCGATTACATTATGGCTGTGTAATAAAATTTTTATTAAAACTGCATCACACTGTAGCCACTTCACCACTACCTCCCCACACGCAGCTGCTGAAACTTTCATTCTGAGATGCCAAAATAGCAAGGAGAAAAGCCAACCAAAGAAGACCGAAAATTAACTCGTCTCCTGAGTAGCCTACTTGGTGATTGGAATCAAGACGGAGGACTTGGCTTCAGTCTCAGCTGAGGCAGGGCCTCTGGACTGAGGTCTTGACCAGGCATAAGGAATGAAAGGATAGAATCAGCCGGGCTTCTTGGTGGCTCACAGTATTTCTCGTGCTGGAAAATTGCTGCAGGGGCCCCCAGCTCCACACATCCCACCCCCCACAACGTGGTTTCAGTGTTGATGGGTGCAGTACCTAAGGCTATTTTATACAATTTTCACTTCCTTCCAAGAAGCAAAAAGGCCAGTGTTCATGTGCCTAGCTCATGATGTATAGGTCTATTTGTCTGTCTTGCTTCTAGGTGCAGGGAAAGTCTACGCCTGCAACTTACCTTGAAAAAGAATGCTTTTGTTTTCTTTGTTTCTGTTGTGAAATCCTGACCTGTCACTCAAACTGTACGATATTTGTAAATAAATTTTATGCCCTGTTTTAACAAGAGGATTGGATTTAGTCCAAGGATTTCATCCTGAGTGGCAACTCTCAAAGCCATGTTTTGAAAGTCCAAGAGAGCCTCTCTTTTGTTTTGTTTCTCTTCTTTCTCTTAGTCCTACATGACCCCCAAATGAAAGTGGCTGTTTTCAGCTCTTCAGCAGCCTGGTCCCCCAGAAGCCTTTCTGATGTGGCAGTTATCAATAGCCAGGGCCACCTCCAATTGGCCTGATTTACTTCCTGCCTTGGAAGATGCACCATGCTTTAACAGAACTAGGTAGACCCTGATACACTGCCTAATCCTAGTAAGTGCCTGGTCCATTGAGCTTGCAGTTGACCTAGGAGCAGTTCCTGTGCTATCCTGTTTTCTTGTGAAGGAACTCAGGGCATCTGTGTGGCCCTGGAGGAAATACAGATAACCTTCCCTCATGCCCCCAACCTAGGGAGATCTGCAAGGGTTCCCAAACACACCCACAGCCTGAAGCTAGGCTGTGTCTCAAGTTTCTGATCTTGTTTTAGCTAGGAAGCAAGATCCTCCCCAATCATAGGAGCCCAATACAAGCCTGCCTCCATTGTTGGGAGAGGTGAGTCTCTGGGGTTTACCCAGCAACTGCGTCCAATGAGGTTTTCTCCAACGCCTTATCACTCCCACTGCTTGACTTGTTGGGAGCAGTGGGCTCCCAGAGCCCTAGGGAGCAGGGATTTGAGCAGAGGTCAGCCTAGTCCATTCATTTCCGTCTGGTGCTGTGGAACAGCCAAGTGCTGCCTAGCTTGCTTAGGGTAGAGGGTGGCTAACAGAGCTGACCACCGCAGATGAAGGGATGCAGAGTTGGTCAACTTCATCTTCCAGATTTGGGGCTTGGGGTTGGCTGTCCTTGGGCAGTCCTGAGTGGCAGTGTCCAGCAGCTCTCCTTAGCACAGAAGCCACTGACTCCCAGCTCTGATTCTTTGCATAAATGCAGCGCCTCAGTGTGGGCTGAGCAGAACCTGGAGATGGAGTTGCTTGGCCCTGCGGAGGAGCTTAACTACTGCAAAGGCACATCTAGGGCTTTCAGCCACTGCTCTGGACCCAGGGGAAAGCCAAGAGCCACAGGCACATGGGTGCAGGGTTCATATTCCAGGTCTGCCACTTACTACCTAGGGCTGAGCTAGTTAACTCCTCTAGGCCACAAGTGTTCCTATCTTTAATAATAGATCTGTCAGAATGGCGTTATAGATTAAATGTTCCTTTCCCCAGTAGGGGTTCAATAAATACTGTTGTTAGAGCGGAGGCTGCTAGGTTTCGGAAGAGAGGCTGTTGGGGCAGAGCGGCAGGCCTCCAGATGGAGAGGGAGCTGCCGGCCGGGGCGAAGGAGGGGACTGAAGCCTCAGAACTGCCCCCGGGGAGTGGGTAGGGGAAGAGAACAAAATCAGAAGCTGGACCGCTAGACCAAGAGACTCCTGGCACCCCCCACCTGGGGCGGGGGGAAGGGGAATAAGAAACTCCTCCTCCAGGTTGAGGTTAGAGACCGGGTGGGCGCTGGGGCTAACGTGGGGAACAGTCCGGAGAAGCAAAGCTGCCCTCCAGCCCTCAACATACACCCTCTTTGTAGAGGGCGGGTCTGAAAGCGTTGTCCTGCTCACTCTCAGCCTTCTGTAACCTCCCCACAGCCCCAGCAGGCTCAAAAAGATTGTAAGGCCCCACCTCCTTCCCACCACCAAGAGAATTTAAAACACAAAAACAGTACAAAACTAGCCCTGGCCGGTTTGGCTCAGCGGTTAGAGCGTCGCCTGCAGACCAAAGAGTCACTAGTCAATTCAGTCAAGAGCAGGCATCTTGGTTCATCCCTGTCCTGGTCCGAGTAGGGTGGGAGGCAACCAGTGGGTGTTTCACTCCCACATTGATGTTTCCCACATTGATGTTTCTCTCTCTCCCCCTCCCTCCCTCCCAATCTATCTGAAGATAAATGGGAAAAAATATATATATCTTGGGGTGAAGATTAAAAAGAAAACAACAGTACAAAATCGGAAAATAAGTGTAAAAAGTCCAACAAAGTTCTGATTCTTCCCATAATGACAACTTCAATACCATCTCCAAAATATCAGATTTTTTTCCCTGGATTTTTTATAAGAGCTTATTTGAGCCAAAAATGATGACAATTGCTGGGAAGCAAGATCTCACATGCTCCAACACTAGATTCTTAAAATACTTTTCTTCTCTTTTAGCTGTTCATGGCCCTGCTTTTGCTAATCGCGGGCAAAGCCCGCATCTTAGGGCCACATCCACATTCACCGCTCCTGGAATGCACTGGTCTATTTTCAATGATTTTCCCTGGAGGACTCCTCCTCACCCTTCAGCCCTCAGCCGAAAGGTCACCTCCTCTGGAAAGCCTTCCCTGATCTCTTCCTCCCGCTCGGGTTCGGAAGCACCTCCCGCCGGCTTTCCCTAGCGAGGCGCTCACCGCGCTGTACTCGTATTGAATCTCCACCCCAGCCTGGAAGCTACTTGCATGGCCGAATTCGTCTCCGGAGCCCCAGCACCCAGCGCTGCCTGGCACTTAACGCCCAATAAACACGGTGGAGGGAAGGGGCTGGGGCAGCGCACGCGGACGTCCAGCCGCAGGCGCCGCGTTTGGGGCCCTGGACACTGCCTGTCCCCTCCCATCCTGCCCCCCGACCACAGCGCTCGCGGGAATGAGACCCGATGGCACCGACACCGCCCAGGCTGCCAGTCCTTCGGGTTAGACCCAAGACCGCGGGAACGCGGCTGCTGTAGGAGGGAGCGGCCCTCTACCCGGGCTGGTGTGCCGCGGCCCCGACTGGCCCCGACGAGCCAACCTCCGCCTGGTTCGCCGCCAGGGGCCCCGCTCCCCGCTGCCGGCACGTGCGCGCGCTGGCGACTCTGGGCGCGGGCCGAGCCGGGCGCACATGCCAGCGGCATCCCCGCCTTGGGAGAGG